AAAAAAAAAAAAAAAGTACCATGGACCGACAGAAGAACAAATCTGTGTTGGAAGAAGTACGGCCATAGTGCTGCTCAAAAAGCAGGGTGGCAAGACACCGTCTCTTAAACTTTGGACATGTTATCAGGAAGGACCAGTGCCTGTAAAAGGACATTATGCTTAGTGAAGTGGAGTGTCACGAAGAAGAGGAAGACCCCCAATGAGATGGGTTGACACAGTGACAGCACAGCAGGCTCAAACATGACACTTGTGAGGATGGCGTGGGACCAGGCAGTGTTTCATTCTTTGTGCATAGGGTCACTGTGAGTCAGAACCAACTTGAGAACACCTAACATCAATAAGCTTCTCTAGAAAATCCAGCCTAAGACACTCGACCACGCCAGCCAATAGCTCTGGTCTCTGGTCAGGTCAGGCATGTTACAGCTCTTTAGTTCTGTGGACAAGTACCTAAAGGCACCCCATTCCAGCCTGAACACACAGCTCTCTCTCACCCCATGGGTTGCAAACCCACTGCAGCCGCCCCCCAGTCCCATGGTTCTCCCTACTCATACTGCTGTCCCCATTTCTCCTCATCACATGCCATCTTCAGTGTTACATGCCCTCTCATGGGTCTAGGAGACTCTCAGCACAGGAACCCCAGGTCCAAAGGCTGTGCTCTGCTTCAGGTTTTTTGTGGTGATCGTGAGGTTCTCCCAACTTCTGTGGGTTGTCCCTTGTATTTAATTCAAGTCATGGTCCTTTCAGCCAGACCGTGAGCTGACTAATCCCTTCAGTAGGCCACAGTCACTCAGTATGCATAGTAAACAATCCATTCTTGAAAGGTAACAAACCCTATATTACACTATATGGTAGCCCAGTGGCTCTGTAGGATAAGCACGGGATTGCGAACCACAAAGTCAGCAGTTTGAGCCCACCAGCTGCTCTGCGGGAGAAAGATAAGGCTTTCTACTTCCAAAAAGATTTAAAGTTTCAGAAACCCTATATATCGTTGCTATGAGTCAGAACGAACTCCATGACACTTAACAGCTACAACAACAAATTTGTACAGTATAGTGACGAATCTTTTGTGAGGTTGTGGCTTAGCCAATCATCTTGGCAGAATTATAAACCCATGGCCAGAAAGACCATCTATAAGAGGAACCCACTGCACTGCACCCTCTTATTTAATACCAACACGCCCCATTAGCATCAACTTCCTGTCCCCTAAATTCTAATCTTTCAAACAGCTGCTGTCAGTGAATGTGATCCCATACAGAGAACTCTTAAAAAAGCAAAAGCTCAAAGCAGACATGCTTTCCTAATTAAGCTAAGCTATTATTTTATTTAAAGGAGACTTCAGGGGCTACTTTCAGTTCAGGGTTTAAAGATTATCTCAGGACTATAGTTCCAGAGTATCTGGAATCCATGACATTTCTAATCTGCTCTGCATCCCTTTTGATCAGGATCCCTCTATAGAATCTGTGATCAAAATGTTCAGTAATTGTAGACAGGCACCATCTAATTGCTCTGGTCTCCTGGCAAAGGAATCAGTTGTTCATGAAGCAATTAGCAGAGTGAGTGAGGGTGGATGTGGTAGATGACATCAGATAGGTAAGGGGGTGGGAGGACGTGCTGTTGACACTCCCACCTCTTACTACTAGAAAGATTGACTCATTCTTTCTCTCTCTGGGCCCACGGTTAGAAATCCCAGAGAAGGATGAGATTAACCGGTCCTCTGTGATTGTAAGATCACCTCTGTGATTGTAAGATCATGGTAGCTCTGGTGCTCACCACAGGACTGAAGTGGCAATAGAGAGAAAATAGGTACCATTCCAGAAGCAGGAAAGTGCCGAACATTACGAAGTAACTTACCACAAAGAGCACAGGCTCCGTTTTTCCAGCCATGTGGTCTCAGAGCCGGGCCCTGATCTCCATGTTTAGTTATACTGAGAGTAAACTGTGTGTACAGTACTTGTCTTCACAGGACATGCCCCAGGGCCAGCTCTGGCTCTACCTACGGCCTAAAACCAATCTTTTTTTTTTTTTTTCTTTTAAAGGGGGCTAAGCATGCGTGGGCAGTGACTCGCAGTGACAGTAAGAACAACACACAGCCCCAAGTCCCACTTGGACACAGTACATACACCTGAGATACAGCCAAGTCAGTCAGGGATCTGAGAGTAGACTGGTGCTGTTGCATGGTGAATGAATATGGAGCCATCTCTAAGGAGATGGGATTTCTGGGCTCCACAATCTAACTGTTACCATTTGCAGTGCCTGGCTGGTACCTAGTATGACCAGAATTTCTTCAGACCAAGAAAATGTGGGCAAGAGGCAACCATTCTAGATGGGACTCCTGAGGTCTCAAAAGGCTGAAAGCCTGGGGAACTGTGGATATATTCCTATTCAAGCCTGTACCCACAGATCCTCAGTGCCGCCATCTACTTCCCCATGTCTTCCCCCAAGAGCCTGGAGGAGGACGCAGGAGCAGGCAGAGCTGATAGTCTACCCACTGCCAGCAAGGCAGCATGGAGCCTTCAGCTGTAGATGTCCTCATGGAAGACGAGAAAGACAGGCGTCCCTCTCCTTCCCCACACCCTCAGTCACTATGGGAATCCATGAGTTTGGGTAGGGGGGTGGGCGTGGGAGGTGAAAGGAAGGAAAGAGGCACCACAAACACCTCTCTCCCTGTGAGTTGAATTCAGAGTGACCCCATATCTCATCCTCCTTCAGCTAAAAGCCACAGATGCGGACGAAGGCGAGTTTGGACGTGTGTGGTACCGCATCCTCCATGGTGAGTGGGCAGGGTTGGCAGAGCTTGTTTAGGGGGTGATGCCAAGGGATCCCCAAGGGCTGTACACATGGGGCAGAGCCAAAGGAGGAAGTGGAAATTCTCCAATATGTTTGCCATTATATGTGCCTAGGCCGACGTCAAGAAAGGATGCTTCTTGTTTGCATTGCTTCCCAAGTCCCTCATACCTCTCAGCACTCACCACCGTCATCATCTTCAAACTCCCCCAAGATTGAAGCTCAGGCTCATTCCACCAGAGCCATGTGCCCAGCCCCAAACCAATCACAACGGTTAGAGAAGAAAAGGTGTTCACCATCCACCCACCTTTGCAATCAGGGACAAAATCACCCCTACACAAACCCATGTACTGAGAGTGGACCCCCTGAGGAAAATCATGGTTCTTTTACCACAAAATGAGGGAACGAATGTTGGACTGACCCAAAGATACCCACTGCTTCCTGGATCCAACCACCCACAAGAGAATTTGGTTTGAGTTCCTATTTTTCAGGGCTCAGATCTCTCTGAAATATTTTAAAAATCTCACTCATCTACACCTGTGATATGGGAGTGAGTGGGGGTCTAGGAGGACACCCAGGCTTCCTTCCCACAAGGAAGCGAAGAGGGTTAGCTTCTACCCCACTCCCCAAACCCTGCCAGGCTGGGATATCTTTGGAGGACTTCTTGCCATAGTGGGTTTGGGAGCCAAGCTCCCAACAAAGACCATTTAAACAGGTTACATATTCTGGGAATCCTGGGACCCCTCTTCTCTCCCATCCCAGCAGCATCCTGGTCCAGGGCAGAGCCCATAACCCCCATCTGTCTCACCAACAGGTAACCACGGCAACAACTTCCGGATTCATGTCAGCAATGGACTCCTGATGCGTGGGCCACGGCCCCTGGACCGGGAACAGAACTCATCCTATGTGCTGGTGGTAGAGGCCTACAACCATGACTTGGGCCCCATGCGGAGCTCTGTTAGGGTAAGACTAGGGGCAGGAGGGTGAGTGGGCAGGGCCAGTGATACGGCAGGTCCATGGGCCAGGGTTGAATATACCTGGGGCCAGGGTAAGGGGGAGGTATCCACAGTCTCAGCCGAGCCTGGGATCTTGGGCATGTCATTTTGCTCTGTTTGACCCTCTGTGAAAGAGTCAATGTGAAAGGGTGGGCATAGATTCTGATCTGGCAGTCCTAAGGGACAAAAGAGGCTTCCCTACCTAATGTCTCCACTCATGTAGCTCTCTAGGATGTGCTGGGGAAATCTCACATTGTCATTTTGGAGATGTAGATGTACTAAGCTCATTTTATAGGTGAGGAAACCGAGGCACTGAAAAGTCACTAGTGATAGAACCAGGACTTGAACCCAAGTCTTCTGAGTCCATATTCAGTGCCCTTTCATTGAAAATCTCCCTAAAATATTCCAGTCACCATTCACAGCTGCCTCATCAAAAAAATTTTTCTGCTCTTTCTCTGATCTTCTGAATGGTTCTTCATAAATGTATTCACAAATATCCCCACAGCCTGGGGTGGTTTATACATGTTCCTGCCCAGCACAGGAGCAGGACTGAAGGCTTCAAGGCCACCCCCACCACACTCTCAGTGGCTCAAAGACTCCCTTCTTTAAACAGTGGAAAGTGAGTCAGACCCTAGAGGTCATGAGTAGGAGGAGGAAGGTGGGAAAAGTCAGCATGGGGAATAAGCAGGGACTTTTACCTAGAACTGAGTGGGGCAGAATCAGCCCCTTTTATCTGCCCCATCTCTACCTACTGTCTCCTCCCTAGACCGGAAACAATGAACAGACGCCTACCTGGCCATCACCCAAGGTGCACTGGGCTATGGGTGACTGAGTCCTCAGCCCAGCTGCTACCAATGCCCCAGCAAGTGATGGGCCCCGTTTGGGGCCAGGCCTGAGTCCTCACAGCTGCCCCTCTGACTGAGCTCAGTCTAGGCAGAAGTGGGTTAGGGGTAAGATCCCTCAGGCTATTACCCCTTGTGGCTGCTTGGCATACTTTCAGAGCCCTGGTTACTGAGGGTCAAACACACCTGGCAGACCCTGTGTGGCCCACGCACATATGTACAATGGAATCACTTGTTCACACATTAATCTGTGCTTGCTTGTCAGGATCTGCCCTACATGGGACAAGCTTCAGGCTGCTGAGTGAGTGACGTCAGTGTAGCTTGGGTTTGAGTCCCCAGACTTGAGGCTTTCCTATCACAGTCCTGGGGTCTGGTGTGGTGTGGTGTGGCCCCCACTCCCCAGACTATGAGGAGCTGTGACACCCCACCTCCCAGAACAGTCATGCACATATCTGCAGGACCTGCACTGCGGTGATGGTTGTTGTTAAGTGCTGTCAAATCAGTTCCAACTCATAATAACCCCATATAGGGTTGGGCCCTGAACCATATCTGCCCACTGCCTCCCTCTTGCTCCTCTTCCCATGAATTCTGAGGAATAATAAATCCTCACATGGTACTTATGACATGCCAGGCACTTTGTTATGTGTTTTAACATAGTTAATCCTCAAAAAAAGTCAACAGTATAATTATGCCCTTTTTATAGCTGAGGAGACTGAGGCAACTTGCTCAGGGTCACCCAACAGTAAGTGTTAACACCAGGCTTCAAACATGGGCCGCCGGCTCAGATCTGTGCTCTTAAACACTCCATCTGTTACCCTAAGTTTAAGACTCTTCAGAACACTGATGGCACTGCTAGCTCAGCCCCAAAAAGTGATTTTAAGGGCTAACGTGGAGGCTGGTCCCTGGGGCAGGGCTTGATTGCCCTCAGTGCATAGCCCCCACCTATGTGGAGAGACTCTAGCTGTGCCCCTAGTATCAGTTCCTCGGCAGTAACAGATGATTTCCATGGGCCCGCAGTCGCCAGCTCTTCCTTCAGAAACCAGCCGAGACAGGGCCAAGGAGCTTGGAATGAACTGTTCTTCATAGAGACTGGGTGACTTAGTATTCACACTGCATGTGCACACACCACATGTGTATACGTGCGCACACAGCTGTACCTGTACCACACCATACATAGGTATCCCCACACATACGTGCACACACATCTGTACCTGTACCGCACCATACATAAGCATTCCCACACATACGTGCACACACATCTGTACCTGTACCGCACCATACATAAGCATTCCCACACATACGTGCACACACATCTGTACCTGTACCACACCATACATAGGCATTCCCACACATACGTGCACACACATTTGTACCTGTACTGCACCATACATATGCATTCCCACACATATGTGCACACATATCTGTACTATACATATGCATGTGTGTTTGACCACACCATACATATGCATTCCCACACATTGTACACACACACCCCTTCTCTCCCATCCCTGGAGGGTCTCAGCTCTCAGTGGAGCCCACAGGGCAGAAAGCATGCCTGGTTCTGCAGGGAACCCTGCACTTCCTGAACGTCTGTGTCTCTCAGGTTTGAAAATCACACATCATCCTGCCTCCTGTCTCTGCTACTAAAAGCAGGGCTGAAACTAACAAGAGGGTGTAGCCAGGCTCCCCGCTTGTCATGACATTGGCCTTGTTAATTCCCAGTGCCCTTGGAGACACAGGCCAACTCAGGAAGGGAAGCCTCCCAGCTTTGAAAGATGAATGATTAGTTCTGTTTACAGAAAAGACGCTTCCCGAAATTCATCCACATAGATTCCCTACCACACCCAGAACCTCTTCAGCCAAGTGCTTAGTGAAACCTAGAAGGTGCCAGCTTGCCAACAGCTGTACTCTGAAGTGGGCATTTTCATTTGCATAGTGGGTTCCGAGTATCTGAACACAAACTGCTGCTAAGACAGCAAGACCAGGGAAGCAGGCTGCTGTTTTCTGCTTGTACAAACCAAGAGCTACTTCCCCAGCTAAATCCAGAGCCAGGCCCAGAAGCAGTGGCTAATCAGGAGCCAAACACATGTTCTCAGGTCACAATCCCTCGTTAGTGGTGAGTATACCACTTGTGAAACCCATATCACATATCATTGCCCCTGCCCGGATTGCTCCCCTCTCCATTCTGCAAGCCCCTGTCTGCCCTGGCTCTGCTAGACTGGAAGGAAGGGGCCAGTTCATCCTCAAACTAAAACCAAACAGCTGCTGTTGAGTTGATTCCACAGAGTTTTCAGTGGCTGATATTTGGGAGGAAGAGTGCCAGGACTTTCTTCTGAGGTACCTCTGAACCATCCAAGGACTCCCACACATTTTCAGTATAGAGTAAACAACAGCGAAGTTGGTAGACTCCCCCACTCTTTCTCCAACCTTCTCAGTGACTGTAAGACCTTGGGCCAGTCACTTCCTCTGGGCCCTCATCTGTAAAAAGAGGCAGGAGCCCAGTGCCTCAACATTAAGTGACTATGGCTGTGCTGCACATCCACCTACTCCAAACCTTTCTAGGGTCCTGGGCAAGTTGGGTGGAGCTGGTTTGTGGGAAGCAGAGAGGGAGTTTGGAAAGAAAGCTAGTGGTGCTGATCTATCACCAGAAACCTATCTCTCCAGAAACAGCTTTTCAACGTGTTACATTTGTGATACAAAATATACATGTTCATTGAAGAGAAACAAAGTACAGCTAAGCAATGAGAAAGATGATCCATAATCCCACAATTCATAATGATTTAATAGTATGAGTATTCCGGAACACCTAACTGTGTTCATGAGCAACCTGTACATGAACCAATAGGCAGTTCGAACAGAACATAGGAACACTGAATGGTTTAAAATTAAGAAAGGTGTGCAACAGGGTTATATTCTTTCACCATACTTATTCAACCTGTATGCTGTGCAAATAATCCGAGAAGCTGGGTTCTATGAAGAAAAACGTGGCATCAGGATTGGAGGTAGACTCATTAACAACCTGCGATATGCAGATGATACAACCTTGCTTGC